CAAAGCAAGGCTTTATTTCATTGCTTATTTAATTGAATTAAAGTAAGCCATATTTTGTGTTAGTTACGTATTGACCTTGGAAGAGAAATGAGCCTTTTACAGAATCAGTAAAATAGTAGAGCCAGAGAAGCTCCAGACTTCTACTGGCACATTAGGTTAAAAAAAAAAAAAAAATCTTTTGAACAATAAGAAAAGGGCCATCTTTTTTGTATAAAGCAAAGCAAAATTTAATTATGGAGGTTTGAAAAATATTTTAGATTTGTCTCATCAACAAAGTATTACTTCAGTCTGAAAATGCATTCTCTTTAACTTATACAACCTAAAATTCTGGTTTCTTAAAAGTCTTATTGAGAATTCTACATTTTCAAGCAACTATTGTCAAACATCAAAATTTTGCTATCAAATAAAGATATTTTCATGCCTTGTACTGTTTTCTATTTTCCATTAGAATTAAGAAATAAGCTACTGCTTATCCTAACTTGAAATTTGATAAGAAGTAGGTAATATGGCTAAAAAACAGGATCTGGAAAGCTTATGTTAAAGGAAGTATATTTGAAGTACTTTTGGCAAATGTCAGTAGTTTGGGGTAAGTTATTTAACCTCTGCAGACTCAAAATTTTTATTAAGTGTAAAATAGTGGATGGACTCAAATTTAGATCTAGGTCTTTTCCAAATCGAATCTTTTTTTTTTTTTTTTTTTTTTTTTTTACTAATTGAGGCTAACAATTCCACTTATATTCAGAATCAGAAGACCATCTCTCCTTGTTGGTTTAAAAATAATTATTTCAAAGGAGAATCACATTAATAAAGTGAAACATGACTATTGTTTGACCTAGTATTTTCCAGAATCCTTCATGAACATACTGATATGCTACTGTTAGATATTTTGCCTTGTTCCTCTACTTTTCCTCAGTTTTTATCAGTGGGTATGTAACTTGATCTCATCAAGGTAGGATAGGTAAATTTTAAATATGAATGAATGAATATGTTGTGGAAAACACTGGTTTGGGGTACCACTTAGAAAAAGGCATTCATGAGTATCTTCTAAATGTTTCTCAATATCTCTGCCATTGGATACAAAACTTAATTCTTTTACAAGTTTACAGATCAAAGGAATCCAATTTTGTTGTGTTCTTATCTGGTCTATGTACTTCTGATTCTATGTATGAGGTCATATGCTAATTTCCATGACTAATTTTAAAGATTTTGGGCTAATATTTAGTTTGATTATGAAAATTACAAGAGATGAGTTTCAAACTACATTTAGGGTTGTTGATGGAATTAGCCTCCTTAGGGGAGTGATAATTTGGAATTCTTTGATGGGGATGGAGTTATTATAGATCACTTTGAAGATAATTACTATGGGGAGATCACCGCTACGGTGAAACTCAATGCCAGTGAACTCACAAAGACCAATGGAGGGAGATGGGGCATTGCATCATTCATTCAAGGTATTTAAAATACCAAAAGTTTGGTTGATTGTGGTGGTATGTACAAATTTAAAGCATCTGCTTTTTATTTACTGCTCTTGCTTGCTGGAGTGAGGAATGAAGTGTGAGGACTTTTTTCTTGCTCTGTGCAAATGTGGAGAGATGTAAGTAGCAGAAAGAGCTGAGCTGTTCAGGAGTCCTGGATTTCAGTCCTACCTCGTTCATTTACTAGTTCTATATTTTGTCATTTGTAAGATAGGAATAGTAATATCTGACCTTGAGTTGTATAACTGAAGAAAGCACTTTGAAAATGTAAAATTATCACTTTAAAATTACAAAGTATTATAATTGTGGGCAATGAAAATTTAGGTTATGCCACTGAAAAAAATATGCTGTTCTATTTTTTCCTTTTTGGTGCACTTTTCTAGGTGAATGTGCCTCTTAGGAGAAATTGTCTGGGAGTGACTGGATTAAGCTTGGGCTGCACAGGCAGATTGTGCTCCCTAAAGACTCAGAGCAGCTCAGCCAGCACGTCCAGAGTATGAAGCATGAAGTACATTTATTCTGCAAAAATGATAAGTAAATATAAAAAATTTCAAGGATTCCATTTTTAATAAATGCAGCAACAAAATCAATGAAAATTAAAATCATATTCAGAGTAACATGTGCCACTATTTTTCACAGATCTTATAGCACTTTGAAAAAGATATTTACATGTTGATTTGACTTGTTCCTTTTAAATATATAGAGCAATTTTTTAAAAGTGGTGAAGCCAAGAATAAAAAAAAAATAAAATCAGTGACAGAAATTGGGACAAAATATACTGTCCCAAGGTATTAGAAACTTTGAACTTAAACTGAAAATGAGAAAATGGGAAGGTTATTCCAAGTTATTCCACAGTCCTGATTGAGTCCTGGGTATACATGGACCTCTGATAGTCTTGTCAAGAGTCAGTTTCTCAGAGTCTTATGATGATGGACATGGGGCATTATCAAAATTTCAAAGAGTTCTGAAAAATCATATAAAAATTATACTATCTTTGTACAAAAATGAATCAGGTATTCAGGTTATATAATAAATAGATTTATAATAAAATATAGCTAGGATTTTTAAGATTTATCTTTTACGTTTTCTGCATATATTAACATTCTGCTTGTCATCTTGCCTCAACTTAATTCCATATAAGCTCTCAAAAGCAAGAAATTTACTTTAAACACAGTATATCAGTCATGAGTTTGTATCTGGGGGGAAAAAGCCCTATTTTATATAACCTTCCTGTGATTCAATGCCATATTGTTTTTCTTCCCAAAATGTATGTTTAAAAATTATCACTTAAGAAAGGAAAGAATCTTGGCACCTAGGTGGCTCAGTTGGTTAGGTGACTGCTTTCAGCTCAGGTCAAGATCCTGGAGTCTCAGGATCAAATCCCGCTCCTGCTCAGTAGGGCGTCTACTTCTCCCTCTGACCCTCCCCCCTCTCATGCTCTCTCTCTCAAATAAATAAATAAAATCTTTTTTAAAAAGAAAGGAAAAACTCTTTCTGTTGTGAATTTGTTTTAAAGAATACATCTTTTAACGATAACATTTCAGGTAAAATTTGGATTTTTCTTTTTCTTCATGTCCACATCTTTCCTTCTTCCCTTCAGTTACGATTTATTTATTGCCCTGTACCAGGAGTAGCAAGGGACTGGCTCATGGATTCATTAGTTGATTAATTCATTTGACTTGTGTTTTGTGGAGGGAGTAAAGATAAGGACAAATACGTAAGTGATTTTTGTTGTAGTTGTCCAAGTGCAATGGAACAGCAATATCCCATAAGGCCACGAGATGGTAGTGTTGTCCACAAGAGTAGACCATTTAGCTGTTCATTGTTCAAACCGTTTTAAAGCCCTCTGTATTTTCAGAATTCACACAGAATCTAAACTTTTAAGGTAGCAAAATTTGGATATGTTTTCCCAGTTTTTCAATCAAAAGATTTTATGTATCTATATATCCATATCTATCCATCCGATCTGTATCATATAAGGAATTAGGCTTTTCTTCTCAAGGTTTGGCACACACAGTGCATTTTTACAATGGGATTATGAACCTATAATATAGCTTAAGGGTTTTTTTGTATCTCTTGTAGTGAAATTATAATAAGGTGATTAGGAAGAAGCTTTTTTCTCCCCCTTTCAATTCCTTACTCTTTTAAAATACCTTTTGCTTTTCTCTCTTCTCCCTACTACTGCTGTATGTACTGTGATATCTTAAGCATTGATAATAGACCCTTGTAATTTTTAGTGCAAGATGCAATTGTTAAGAGCGTGGGATCTAATATTACACACAAAGCTGCCTTAAAAGTTTAATTGGTAGTTACTGTAAATTTCTTACTCGGTTGATACTTTAAACTCTCTCTGGTTCTTAGCACTAGCCTCAGAATGGAAAGTTACCAATTAAATTCGTTTACCAATGAGTGATTATTTTATCTAAGAATGATGTTATATTGCATAACTTAATGAAGTCAGCGAGGTTCTGGGGAGTGCAGTATTTCTTTTCTTCTACGGCTTGTTCCCCTCAGTTCAATGTTGCCACTCTGATACTAATTCCACATCGTCTGAACATACTGGGCTCACTGGACTATGATGAGTGTGATCACTGGAGACATCCTTAGGGAGGAGTTGTGCAAACGTTACAAAATGAATCCGGAAGGACGCTGAAACTAATGTCTACAAATATTTACAACATGGTTATATCCCAGGCCTTCATCTAAGCGCTTGGGAGAAGTCAGCGAGCAAAACCCATAAAGGTCCCTGTCCTCAGGGAGCTTACAATGAAAATGGGAGGACCTATTCAACAAACAGTACATCTAAGTAAATTATACGGCATATCGTTGGCCACAACTACCCCAAAAAGAGCAGAGGAGGATCCGGGGGATGATAAAGGAGCGAGGCCGGGCGCAGTGCGAAGTCGGCTGGTCAGGAGAAACCTTGTGGAGGCTTGAAAGAGGCGCAGGACCCACGCCCAGCCGACCGCCCGGGGGTGGGCGGGAGCAGGCGCGGCGGCGGGGGAACCCGGAGCCGGAGCGGTTTCAGAGACCTTTATTAGGAATTTGCTACAGGCTGGGTTCGAACTCCTAATTAGCCTCCCAGCGAGTCAGTTCCTGGGGGATCCAGCACCAGTGGACTCCCAGCTCCGCGGGGGATCGCTGCGGTCCGCGCGGTCAGCTTGGCGACGGAGCGCACACCCGAGCTGCCTGCCGTGCGGACCCCTGGCGGGGCGGCTCCGCAGCCCCGGCCCTGAGCGCGCTGCGAGGCGCGGGGCGGGGCCGGCGGACGCCATCGCGTCGCTACGGGCCGGCGGCAGCGGCGGCCTGGTCAGGACGGCCGCGGCGTCCTCGCCGCTCTTCGCTCGCCCACGGCAGCCGGGCCCTCGCCCAGTCCCCCGCTTGGTCCCCCACGGCGGCGCGCGCGGCCAGGTTGGGCGGGGCGGTTCCGGGGATGAGGAGGCGGCGGCGAGCCGAGACGATGCTCCGGAGCTGAAGAGACGCCGGCACACGGCGCGGCGGCCGAGCGCAGCGCCGACCCGCGGGATGGCTCAGCCGGCGGGCCCGGCGGGCGGCGGGGAGCCCCGGGCGGAGCCGGCGGGCGGCGAGGGGCCTCCGGACTCCGGGGCGGCTGGCGGCCCGCCGGACGCGCTGAGCCTGGAGGAGATCCTGCGGCTCTACAACCAGCCCATCAACGAGGAGCAGGCGTGGGCCGTGTGCTACCAGTGCTGCGGCTCCCTGCGCGCCGCGGACGCCGGCCGCCGCCAGCCCCGTCGCCGCGTGCGCTCAGCCGCGCAGATCCGCGTCTGGAGGGACGGCACCGTCACCCTGGCGTCCGACGACGCGGGAGAGCCGCCCCCCGCCACGGGTGAGGCCGCCGACCTGCGACTCCACCGAGACCCCTCTCCGCGGCCCCTTTTCCCTGGAAGCCCCGGGCCAGGCCCTTCCGCCCCGCGACCCCCACCTCCCATGGGAGGACCCCCTGCGGCCCCATTTTTCTCCCTCGTCTTCCTGGGCCCTGCCCTTCTTCTGTGCGACCCCCACCTCCGACAGGAGGACCCCCACCGCGGCCCCCCTTTTCCCTCGCAATGCCTGGGCCCTGCCCTTCTGCCCGGCGAACGCCCACCTCCCCAGGGAGAGCCGAGAGGAGCAGGGCCTGGGGCCGGCGGGCGGCGGGGACGATGGTGGTGCTGGCCCTGTGGTCTAGCGGGGGCTCCACGTAGGTCAGAACCGGGGGGTGGGGGGACGGGCAGCGGCACAAAGAGGGGTTGTGAAGAGGGCGTCCGGGCGGGCCTGCGCCCCCCAGTAGGGCCGCGGACCTGCCCAAGGTGCTGGTAATTGCACAGAGTAATTGCACAGACTGTCATAGGACGGCTGCCCCCGTCTTGTTTGGGAAATGCAGTGGGTTGGGTCCTTTTCATGATAAGCTATGTATACATACTTACATGCCAGGCTGTTTACTTGGGATGTGGTAGGTGCTATGAAAGGTTCACGTGAGATCTCGTCAAGGATAGTTAATTCTGCTGTCAGGAAAATTACACCTTTCGGAATGAGTAGTCAGCTAATAGTTTTTGTTTTGTTTTTTTTTTAATTTGGTAACAAATTCCTTCAGTTTGGAAATATAAAAAGCCCCGAAGAGAATGTTGCTATTTTGGGAGAAACAGGAGGAGACGAAATAATGATTTCTGGCTCTTGGAAGTTAAAAATAACTACCATTTACCTGTGTGTTAAAATTTGTTGCGATGAGAAAACAGGCTTGTCAAGTCAAAAGTTGACAGGATGTCAGATAAACATAAAATGGGTTTTAGTTAGGTTATTGTCTAATGTAAATTCTTCAAGATTATCACCTACACATTATTATGTAGCTAGCGCTTACTCAGAGATGTTATGATGATGAGGGGATTGATAATAGGTTTCTCCTATCAGTTTTTATATATTTCAGTCTTTTGAGAGGCAAGTATACTAAAAACATAGAGAAATAATCCGCCCTCACTTTTAGAAAGTTGATAGAAATGTCAAAATGCTTAAGGTGAAAGATGTAATTCATTAGTCAGTAAAATGACATTTAATCCAAATCCTTATCTAAATTGATTAAAATAAAAAGCATTCAAGATTTTAGTTATCAATTCTTTCACTTCCCATAAACATTAAAGTGTGTGTGTGTGTGTGTGTGTGTGTGGTAAACGCATTTTAGAACTTTGACTTATTTAAATCTATTCATAATTCTCTGGAAATTATTTTATTATTATAGTTTTTAGTTTGATGTGTTTATTTTTAAAGTTGGACTTAATGTTAGTGGGAAATACTTGGTATTATAATTTACTTATGGTGTATTAACATGATATGCAAAGATACGCTTATTATAAAATGAGGCAAAGCAGTGCCTTGGAATCTGGCATTTCAAGGGGGAAAATGGTTGTGTGTAACCCTCTTTTAGAAGCGGCATTCGTAGTGTTGACTTCTGGAAGGAATAAACACGAGTTTACATTCTTTCTCCTGAACTTAATCCCAGAAGAGTGTGGTTAAAGTTGTGCTTATGGACCTACGAGTAGTTTAGTTGTCAAGACAGATGTATTCTGGCGGTAGTTAAAAAAAAAAAAATCAGAATCTCATGTTGAAATGAATTATTATTTTTTTTTGTATGATTAGTATGAGTAATACTATCTTGACCTAAATGTAATACTCTGTCTTCTAGGAGAGAATAGTAGTTTCCCTGCAATCCATCCTCTTCTTCCTTAGTTTGACTCATGATCTCTGCTACCAGTTGTTGAGAGAGAGCCCAACCAAAGCTGTTGATACAGTCTTGAGCACCTTAGGCTTGATCGATTACAAATCTTTAGGAAGTTCTTACTAAAATATTGCTTATGTTAGTTTATTTCCTCTTAGGATTTAAGAGCAGTTGCATGGTTACAAAAGGCACAGAAGTGTTTTCTGAACACTTCATCTTGATTCTTAAAAATGCTGAATAATTTAGTTCTGTGCACATGTATACATTCTATTTTTAAGGAAAAAATATTAATCTTGATACCTCAATTCTAAGAAGTACTTTTTCACTGTAGGATGTTTCATAGGATTGTATGTAGTCAGCGTTCAACAGCATTTATATTTTCACACAGTTTATCTGTTGAGTTATTTCCAGATGGAGGCTTAGGGGATTTAAGGGACTTGCTTATATTCATATTGATGACTTTGAATCAAATCCAGGTCTTTTAACCTCTAGACTTAGAAACAGATTTGGTGTGAATTTGGGTCCTTATGTTCCTCCCCTTCCTAGCTGAGTGACCTTGAATAAGTTCCTTAAACTCCCTTAATTACTGAGTTAAAGACACTTAAGCTCTGCATATACAATCACTGTGAGTCCAGCCTCCTCATCTGTAAAATGAGAATAGATCACTTTTTCACGTGAGACCACTTAAGTGAGATGATGCATGTGAAGTGACTAAAGCAAGGCTTGTTATGTAGCAGATACTGGCTAAGTTCTAGTTTGCTTTCTCCCCTAATTCTGTGTCCTTTTGCACCACTGTTGTGCCTCTGGTCCTGCTGTTCTACATTTTTATTCAAAATTGGGAACACATATTTTGGGTCAGGGTCTCTCATTCTTATTTTGGCTAAATAATTCAGTGTGGGGCTGCCCTGGGCCTGTATAGGATGTTCAGCAGCATCCCTGGTCTCTACCCATTGGATGCCAGTAACTACCCATCCCCTCCCCCAAGTCATGAAAGTCAACAAAGTCCCTGGACATGGCCAAATTTCCCCTGGGGGAGCAAAGTCCTCCCCTGTTGGGAACCATGGGTCTAGCAGATGATGGGTGGTACACAGGGTTGTGTTCAGTGTGGAGAATTGGATCCTGGCTATAATCCTCGAGTGAGTGAGTTCTGGAGTTGGCCACTTTTCCCTCTGCTGCTGAGTTGAAAGAACAAGTGGTATCGCTCCACTCAGTCCCATAGAAAGAAATAACCCCTCACATGCTTTCTTGACTTGTTTGGGGGTTGAGCGTAGTAGTAATTGATTTTAGTTCTTGTTTACTTTTAACAGTGTTTACCTTTAACAGTTCTTGTTAAATCCGTTTTACAGTGTTGATCCAGAATGTTCATATTCAGTTTGAATTAAATTAGGCATACCTGTAAGAGAAATAGGAAGATGATGAAAGATGTGGAAGGCAGGGAGATGAGACCAAAATGGGAAGACAGTGAAGAACAAGTCATTTTATTTAGCATTATACTTGATTATAATCAAGTGCCATATACTAACACGGCCACAAAAGCAGTGTGATCAAGGATTGAAGGAGATCAAAAGGAGAAATTAGTTCTTCAGAGGATAGCTTAAGAGCAAAAATGATTACATTATGATATAGCATCTTAAGCAGCATGTTTTATGAAGCATTTCTGTGATGACAGAAGGAAACATTGCTTAGAATCAAGAGGGCTTATGATTTGTCTTAGGCGTCTAACTTAACATTTTTATTTTCCCTAATGTTTATGTACTTATAATAAGTCTGACAGTTTTATAAAAGTTTCTTATATGCAGGTTGATGAGGTTTTTGCTTTCACACCTTTAATTAACAAGTTAAAGACACTCAGGCTCTGCATATACACAGCCTGCTTGCTCTTTGTCGCCACTGTGCCTCACTGGCATTTGGAAGGCATGTTATTATACACATTATTTAGGAAGTAGTCATTGATGGAATTTGGGTTATATTCCAGACCTTCTCAAGATTAGAACTTTTTTTTCCTGGGATGCCACAGAGAATTATTAACAACAGTAGTATTCCTGCTTGGAACCACGGTATGCTCTCAGCAGCCTCTTAGGCCATAATACTCATCTGGCAAAAATAACTTATTTCAGATTTTGATTTCAAAATCTTTGATGTATCTTTAATGTTAGATGTATAAAGAACATTTAAAAAATTGTGACCGCATCTTGATTTAAAATAATCTTGGATTGGTTATAGGTTTTCCTGGGAGGAACAATGAAAGCTTGCGTGCATACTAATAAAGGCATCTCTTGGTATAGGGAACATTTGGGTGTTGTTTGGGATTTGAAAAGAGGACATGATCAGTCAAGCTTCTCAGTAAGTTTCATGCTAATTTGGTGGGAGAAATGGTCTTGAAAAAATATCCTATTTGATTTTAAAGAGAGACCAAATACTTGTGGAGAAGGTTGAAATTAGTGAAAACATGTTTTAAAACACGAATTCTTGTTCATTCTTGGTATAATTCTTGAGTGTTAACATCCTGATCATTAAATGAAAGGAATATTTGAGATTTATGTATTATGTGTCCAGGGTAGAGTTTGGGGGTGAATGATGGTATTAGGGGTTGGTGAAATGTCTTATCAGGTGTAGTAATATGTAAGAATTATTCCATTTGTACAATATCGCCCAATATGTCGGGCTAATTAAAATGTAAAAACATGCAGGGATGCCTGGGTGGCTCAGTCTGTTGAATGTCTGCCTTTGGCTCAGGTCATGATCTCAGGGTCCTGGGTTCAAGCCCTACGTTGGACTCCCTGCTCAGTAGGGATCTTCTTCTCCCTCTTCCCCCTTACCCCAGTTCATGCCCTCTTCCTCTCTCTCTCTCTCAAATAAGTAAATACAATATGTTTTTTTAAATGCACTGAGTTCCTACCGTGTGCAAGCAATGTTCAAGTTTCTGTAATGTAAAGATAAAAAGTTCTAGTCATGGAAAAAGAGAAATAAAACATAAACACAGCCGTAAGTCTACCATGAAGCTAATGCAGCTTCAGCTCTGATCCCACTCATTTACATAGGCTGCTTCTAGGCCCCTGCACACAATACGTGCAGATGGTCATTTGCAAAATTAAGGTATTTTAGCCATAATTGGTAAGATTGCTGTCACTTTTGACTCC